ACTGCAATGAGCTCTACACGGGGCAAACTTTGAAGATAACTCTGAAACTACAGCAGATACAGAATGCTTCATACTTTGTCTAATGACAAGCGGGTGGCTGTTTGAGCTAGGTTTTCAGTACAGAAAGGATTTATTATTTTACTTTAGTCTTTATTTTATGAAGATGGCTATATTAGTTTCAGGATGGGTTTTTCTTTTTCAGATTTTACACTGCACAAAGTTGTTTGGTAAAGCAGTATAGATATTTTGAAACTAAATAATAAGCATAATTGGGCAGGAAGAGTAATCTCCACTAACCAAACGTGTTTTACTCTGCATTTTTTAACAGCAGCCGAGCGATGGGTGGCCTGTTTCTACCACACATTCCTTTGGGTTTTGAAGCATTTTAATTAATTGTTCTCCTTGCATGTTTGGCTCCTTCGTCAGGATCATAGAAAATTGCTTCTCATAGACTACTCCTTAAATGAGCATAGCTGAATCTAAAATGAGAAAGCTGACATGTATATCTTCTCTGAAGCCACATCCTACCACTTAATTCTGTGCAAGTCTCCACCTCTTCTTGACCTGTTTTGGCTTTGCGCCATTGGAGTACAACTTCTGGAGTTCTCAGACATGACTACACAGAGGTGTTGGGACCCAAAGTCCAATAGGCCTAAAACCCACCAGGTTGGAAATGACTGGACCCTCCAAAAGGTTCTGCTGTTCTGAAGGAATAAAAAGACACTAAGAAATCCTGGCACCTTCTTTCTGTTTGGTCTTAAGGCAGGCCTGACTAATTTCTTTCCCCAGTAACTTCTGAGGGGTTAATGGGGTGGGTGCGTGGGTAAACATCTCATCCTCTCGTTTGCTTTTTTTTTTTTTCACGAAGTTAAGACGTGCAAAGGGCTACATGCAAAAGGAAAAGGAGTCAGAATGTGTTAAGGAGAGTGATCCTATGACTGGGCTTGTCGGGAATGTCCTTCCTCAGAAAAGCCATAGTTAGATAGGAAAGTACATGCTTTGCATGCAAAAAAGATCCCCCGTTTCATCATCTGCATCTCCAGACAAGCAAGGTTGGGAAACTTTCTATTATGGAAATGTTGCAAGGTGACTACCAAAGAGTACAGAGACACTGCTGAGCCAGACAGATCAATGGTTTCAATCAAGCTAAGCGGCATCCTATATTTCCACTAGAAAGGAGTGAATCTGAAGTAGCCACCCCTTGCCTCTTCCTTATAGATTCAAGGGTGGAAAGAAGACTCAGGAAATTATGGCCTTCCAGCTCCTTCTTAGCAAGCTGAACTTCTTTCTACCCCAGCTTTCTGGCGTTTTGGCAGGAGGGAGTAGTGGGATCCTGAGATCTTTAGCAAAGCTATTGGCAAGCTCACTGCTCCTGCCTAGGATAATGGCAAAGATTGAGAGTGACCTGAACAGTGGACATGGTCAGATGGAGAGTGGGAGAAAATGACAGGGGAGCCATCCAGAGAAGGAAAGCAACCATCTTTGCTGTTCACTAGCTCTTCTCCCAGTCCTCAAAGGGATTTGCATTTGCTATTCTGAAGTGCAAAATTCTGTAGATGTATCTCTGTGGAAGAATGGGTTGTTGTGGATGCTGGGTACAAAACACAAGAGGCCAGGGCATGGGTTTCTTACACTGCTCTATTGCACATTCCCATCATTCACCAGAATTTTACAGGGAGGATGTTCAAAATTAAATGCCGGAATTTCCTACAGTAGAAAAACAAGTCACACATTGTATTTCTCAGATGTGTAGTTTCTTGAATTTCTGCTCTGAATGCGAGGTAAAATAAAAAGAAATAACAGGATAGAATTGAACTATTGAACTAATATAAAAAGCATAGCACAGGCATGATAGAAACCAGTGTCATCATCTGTATTGTGGTATCATCATACAAATGAAGTGAACTATGCTAATTTGATTCATGGTATGATTTACAATCGTTTCATAAATTTATTGATCTCCACTGAGAATGACCATGATAGTCAACTACTGTTGCCCGTCTAAAAAATGCCCTCAGTAATATGCCTTTCCTAAAATTATTTCATGTCACCAAGGAGGTACAAGTATCAGCTTGTTGCCATAATTTTATGGCACCTTAAAAGATTACCCAATGTATTGTCCATGAGCTTTTAAGGATTTTGTTCTACTTCATCAAAAACATAAAGTCCAGCTCTGAAAAAGGAATATTATATCCCCATTCCTTTTTGGAGAGGGAGGTCAGGAGACAGAACCAGTCACAGTACAATGGCTATGTGAGAGATGCAGAGAACATGATGGCAAAGCCCCAAAGTCTGCAGTCTGTTACTCTCTTCATATGGAATGCCAGAGGTGTCAGGCGGACATAATTGAATTATTTTATGTTATGGGAGTAGGAGATGACATTCCACAGAGGGCATCTGGAAAAAGGCAACAGAAGCAGCTGTCCTTCTACTTTTGAAAATATAAAATCCTGCAGTTAACCAAGAGCAATCGTTTTAGTCCAAAGAAAATATCCTAAGATCCGGCCAAAGACATCCTGGGACATGCAACACTCAGTGGAAGCACTGAGGACTGATTTCGTTCAAGCTGGTTGTTTGCCAAAGAGAGCCCTCTGTTTTTTTAAATCTGTGATCATGTTTCCAATGGAGGAAGACAAAGGGAACTGGAAAAGTCAAAGATGATCTGAAGGGAAGGGCCTCGTTCCAATCCCACCAAGGTAATTCCATTTTAAGGTAAGAATCACAGACAAAAGAACAGACATTATGGAGAACTGAACTATTGAACTAATATAAAAAGCATAGCACAGGCATGATAGAAACCCAAAAGACTTTGATGTCTTTTCTTATCATCTGCCTTGATGTAAATCACAAGGGTTTAATTTCTGATTCAATTCAACCTAATTCTTCCACAAACTGGCATTATCATGGTGGACAGGAGATAATTAAGCAACCTAATTGTTACTTAGATACAACTAGTGTCCCTGGCTTTCCCTTAATTGTAGATCTCAAAAGCAGTTTAGAGCTATCTATCTTAACTCATAACCCTACCTGTCTGATACCCCAGTTAGCTTACTGACCCCCTTACATCTTTGCTTCTCGTAAGAGATTTCTCTCCATCTCAACAGATGTACCAAGCCACAAATGGTATTAATGCGCTGTGATAACCTATTGACTTCCTTACTACCTCCTTTTCTTAATGAATACTGACTCTTGCTTCCACTATTTGCTGGTGCCCCTTTGCGTTGCTAGCAGGAATTACAGGAGTGTAAAGAGTTCAGCTTGAGGTTAGGGTTAACCCATAGGTTGCCAGACCTTTTGCTGCACAACTTTTTCAGGAAAATGGGACCATGTGGTCATTGTTTTGCAATGGAGGAAGGAGCTTAAGGAACAAAAGGTGCTTAGAGGCATGCATTTTACCAACTCCAGAATTTATCCCTTTTGCAGTGCAGACCTCCTGCTAACATCAGCTGCATACTCTTGAAATTCAGCAACCTTAAATTTGCTGTTCTTCATTATGGCTTCTGGATGCAATTATAGTAATAAACCCTACACTGGCTGCCTAGGCTATCAAAAAGGATTGCTATCATATTGTCAAGTGGTAAACATAAGGACAAAGGACATTAAGAACAAATCACCGTTCTAGGTCCAATCCAGAGACAATTTAAATTTTTAGAGCAGGGGACACATTTGAAGTTTGGCAGCTTCTTGCCAATGCCAGTTACTATAAAGGGAGCAATTGCCACAATAGGCATGAAACCTTGGCTATACCAAAGAATCCACATTCCATATTGTGGCTCTATCTTAAAGGTATAAGGGCCAATTTATGCCCGAGTATCTTCCTTAAATATTTTACTTCCAGCTCTTCTGGAGAAGGGGTGGGGAACTATGACCCTTTTATGACTTGTGGAGTTCAACACCCAGAATTCCAGAGCCCCCCCATGCTCAAATACCAAAATTACAAGCTCTTAATGAACCGTATCTTTTCCATTTATAGCAACAATTATGATTTTTCTGATTGTATTTTAAGTTTTTACATTCAACTTTAGTTTTTCAAAGCTAATACTAGCTGGTGAGAATTTATTAACAGAAAAACATGGGTACACACCTCCGAGTATGTAAGTTAATACTGCCTTAAGGAAGACGGCAGACATGTACTATGATTCAATTGAGAATGATGAAAATTACTAGTTATAACTCAAGGGGTCTAACATAATTAGGGGAAGAGACAGAAAAATCTGTGCACGCTGAACTACTTCAGTATTACCAAGTAAGAACACTATGAGTTCGTATCATAAATCCACCTCCTGCCAAATGGTAAATAAGCTTCTTAGGTGCCAACAAAACACAACAGCAGCCAGTTGCGTAAGGAATCATCCAAGTAGGCTGGCACAAGATAAATTGGAACTGAGACTCAGAATGTCTTGTACATATAGAGTCTTTTCAAAAATTAATTTTATATGCTGCACTTACAGAATCAGGTATTTCAAATACATTTCCATGAGAGGAAAAAAAATCCAGAGAAGTATTTGGTTTGCATGAAAATCTTTTGATTCATAACTACCAGCTGTTCCCTTTTCAAATTGCTGCTTGTTACATCCATTTTGGAAGGCAATGATTAAAAGCTGTAATAGCTATTCTATAGCATTTGGAATGGCATGCTAAAAATATTTTACTGGACAAAATACTTGCAAACCACTGAGTCTTTTTGATTTGATAGTATACAAGGGGAGGATGGTTATGGACTCAGAAATAAGAACCCCAATAAAGAAAAAGAGTTGCTATTAAGTTTTGATGAAAGTTTAAGAGAGCTCTCTCAAAGCTATTATTTCTCATGAAATAATACTAGGTTGTTTCTAAGAACTGAACAAAATAACTGTTTTTGAAGGCTTACCTGCATCACTCAAGTTATTTTTTAAGTTATTTGGAGCATATTTAAAATATATGTGTATTAATTTTGTATCCCTACAATTTTTTAAGACCCATCTTTTTAAAAAATACTCCAGGGTTAACACAAACAACCATCACTTGTAAATGGATTTATTGATTCAGCATTTGGAATTGACATCTTTTAAAGTATCTCCTTACATAGGCTTAGGGGGTGGTCTCGGTGCAGCACCCTGGAAGATAAAAAAAACAAGTGTTTTAGAAGACATTCATCTACTTTATTACTAATGATTAAACATAACAAATTAAGAACATTCTAATTTCTATCTCAACAGAGATTTAAAATATAGCTGCCTTGTAAAACAAAGAATACTTGTTCCCTCTGCCAGTTCAACAAAATGCTAACTGGCTCAACAGTTCATTGATAGTATACAATCCTTTTATTTATAACCTTTCATTTCCTATTAAATTAAAAAGCTGCAGATAATTATTAGCTTTTAAAAACACATTTCATCTAGGCTTTTTTTCCATGCCAATAACAGAAAGAACAACAAACCATACTATCAGGATTACTTCATTCCAAGGTGGAATCAAACAATCCTGATAATGTGCAGCACATGTGAATGCAGAAAGGCAAATCCTTAGCATATCTGCTTGTGTAAGGAACATGAAAAGTGCAGCCCAGTGGCTGCATGCAACTATATGCAGATGTTCAGGGCACCATTCCATCCTTGAAACTCCTGAAATCTTTTTCTAAAATAGTCCCTGACACCAAATGTTAAAAGTATTCCCTCTACACCCTTGGCTTATATAGGCAGCGCTCAATTTACGATTGTAACAATGGTTCAAAGCGACATGGCCTTAGAAAAAGTAATTTCCATCCTGACCTTACATGTACAACCTGCGCGATTGCAATTTAGGCGCTTAACAACTAGCTTGCATTTATGACCAGCTGCAGCATCCTGCAGTCAAGTAATTGGGATTTGTAACCTCCTTACCCAACATCAGTTGGGGAAAATGGAATCGCCCAACAACCATGGTAAAAGTGGTCATAAAATCAGGCTTGGTCACATGTTTTGTCACTTAGCAAATACATTGCTTAGTGACCAAAATTCTGATTCCAATTGTGGTTGTAAGGATTGCTTGTTTAATAATGCAAAAATGGCATGATATTTGTACTTCACCAACTAGGTAAGAATTTTTTTTGTTAGTAATAATGCAATAATTTGCAGTTGATCATATACTTACTGCTGGCCTGAACCGGGGAGGAGGAGTGCGGTCCTTCCGGGCCTCACGGGATCGGTTCCTCACCACCTTGCTGTGGATAGCACAGCTAACACAATAGTGAAGCTTCACATAGAGTTTGGGTAGCACATAGGCTGAGGAAAAAAACAAAAGGTAATTAGAAAATACTACAACGGTCCAATTAGATAAAACAGCCGGACTTCTGATTCCCCCTGAAAGTCTATGTCATAATCTGCCCCAGGATTCTTTTCATTAACATGAAAGAATAAATTATGGAATCTAAAAATGAGAAAGAAAAACAGGCTTCAATATTATTTTACCAAATAAGACATAATGAACAATTATGAATAAGGTATTTTTATCAATCCAACTTAATCCCCTCTCAACGATTATTCATTTTAAAGCAAGGTCCCGCAAGAAAGATCTTGGTAAAACAACCCACACACAACCCACAAATTCTATTACAGTACTTCAGATATTGCACTAAAATCAATGGAGTGATTATTTTTGATGGCAAAAGAAAACTTTCTCATCAAAGTCCAGTTGAAATTTAAGAGAACTCTCATCTAGAGTCTACTTTTTGCTCTTTCCTGCCTATCTTTTAATAGATCTTGAATCAGCCAAAATTACAATGCTACAAATACAAAAAAAATTGGATGAACAACTATTAAACGGGATTAAGGTATTTAATTCAAGAGCTTCCTGTCAGGATAGAGTATGTACAATGAGCACCATAACAACAATCATCACACTACTATCTCAAATACAAAGGAAGATATGACTGTTCATTGTAACGTCTTCTCCTAATCCTTTAATTTTCTAATCTCAACTTTACACTAACAATTAAAACCAGGGGCATTAGCAAGAGGAAGGGCTTACAATCAAAGACACTTGCTTCAGAGATATCTCGGACCGCAGCTGCTTCTACAATATTTCGGATGACAAACTTCTTAATAGCTTTGTCCTTGGGGACACAACGGGCACAGTTGGTACAGCGTATAGGCTGGACATGTCCTCGGCCCTTCTTGGCACGACCGTTGTTTCTTCTCTTCCTTGTCTATTTAAAGGAACAAAAATGTATAACAATGTTAATCAATGAAGAACAGACTCTGCAATGCAAAGCGATAGATGTGAGCACATGTTGTGGTAGCTCAGGTAATTCTAGAACCAAGCTAGAAACTATCTTCTTCTAAGAGCAAATGATATTGTTACAGACAGTGCTTGCTTTGATAACCAGGAAGCATTGCTATCCTGTCACTAACTCAAGACCTCTAACTCAAAGGTACATTTTGCATACAGCTTTGATACTTTCCAAGCTTCCAAAAATTGTAGTTTTATAAATTTATATTTGCACCAATATTCTTTCTGTATGTTTGTATGCATACAGAATCAGTACTGCTTTTTCCCCCAGATAAGGAAGTCAAATGTAAACAGCAAATGCACATACATGCGTATGAGGGATAAGCAAAGATGTCCATCTTTTCCAGTAGGTTTAAACACTGGCTTCTTGGGATCTATTATTATAAATACAATAAATCCCAAGAAGTCAGTATTTAAACCCACAAACTGGAAAAGATGGACATCTATTCTTATCTTTGCACCCCTTAGATTTATTTCTTAATGTCCTCCCTAGCAAAACAGTCTCAACATTTGCCTCTTGCACATGACTTTTTAAAATAAAATCCTAGTAATAATCAAGTAATCAAACTTTTTTTTTTTTAAATTGGAGTAAGGTGCCTTTGGAGTAAGGTGCCTTTCAGAAAACGGCTAGGCCACTCCAGGAAAAAAAAAGCCCACTTATAGATGGTTGGGTTATTCCGTTGAACTATATCACACGATCAACTTCACACTAAATCCTGTTTGTATAAAGTACTTTTGCTAAATATTCTTTCACTGGGATTTCTTTTTCCCCCCCAGGAGAAGCCAGAATGGATTGAAGAACGTGTGTGCTAGCCAAATGCTAACCCAGCTTAGTCTCAGACGCCATTTAAGTCCAGCCCGCCCTTCTGGAATGGTCTCCCTTAAACGGGGGACCCTCCAGATGTTTCCGAGTGCGAACCCCATTATCATTCCCAGCTAGCAACAACACCGCAGCCCAGCACGCGAGGAGGCCAACGGACCCGGAGAGGCCGTCCCCGCCTCCCTCTCGGCGTAAGACCGCGAACTAAGAACGTTAATAGCCGTGTCCCGCGAATTCCTCGAGACAAGGAGGCCTTCACCACTGAGGTGACGGGCGGGGGGGAGGATGATTGTGCCAGGAGCCCCAAAATACCAGAGAAGGGCGACCCTGACCGCAAGTCTAGCTTTCCGCCAAGCTTGCTCAAGTAGGACGCGTAAGCCGTGGGCCAAGATTTAACGGAACAGCCACCTCCCCTCCCTCGGGTAATTTCATGGATGTCTCAAAATTCCGCCCTCTCGTTCTCCAGGGCTGGTTTTTGTCTCACGCGCTTCCCCTTTGCGGCCTGCTACCTCACGCGCGCGGTACCCACCATTTTGACGGTAAGGAGGCGAAAGAAGGTCCGGCTCTTTCCTTGGGATTTTTATATTGCTTTCCTCCGCGAAGCGGAAGCACTACACCTTACTTCCTCCTACCATCAAAACTCTTTTGATTCTCTCAGAAGGTTTAAGGAATAATTCGACATAGTAAAGGGTTTTCTAACGGGAAAAAAAGATTTGTTCTGGTTTCTTGATGTAACTCTGAGGTTATATATTTTCATATATTTATGAATGAGACTATTTTCTAGTTTTCAGCGGAAGGATATTGTACCTCGTCAAAACTTGCAACTTCCCGAAGTATCCCAGAATACATCACGGGTGCGTAACTTGAATTTATTGCGTCGGCTTAAAGAAGTGCACATTGGGACTTGTGGTTTTTTTCTTCTTCTAGCGTTACCCAATAGCGGGTGTGCGAAGAGTTGTACTTTTGTTCTTTTGCGGAACATTTGCTGACATGATGGAGGGGAACAGAAGCCTTGAAGAATTTGCAGGAGAGCCCCAGTATATTTTTGCTCCCGTTGTTCCATTTTTTAAAAGTTACATTTTAATTATTTGTCATTTTTCACAGTGTTTGTTGCAATAAATCCAACATGTAATCATAGTTTAACTTGCAGTAGTAGCATTTTTAACTGTTAAGCTTTTATACCTTTGGAGTTTTAGATGGATTTCCGGCATATGAGGACCAAGATCATTGGGGGCAATATGCTGACTCCGTAAACCTCTTAGAGAGGGCTGAAAAGCACTGTGAAATGGTATATAAGTCTAAATGCTATTGCTATATTCCATAGGAGAAATCACATAGCCAGAATTCTATTTTGAGGTACACTGAATAAAAATGGCTCATGTTAGGTAGCTTGGTTTACTTTGTTTTACCTGTAAACAAAAACATTATGAAGAACTGGTTGCAGGAATTGGTTTTGGCTAGTCTAGAGAAAAGGAGGACTGGGGATGACATGATAGCACTGTTCCAGATTTGAGGGGCTGCCACAAAGAAGAAGGGGTCAACCAAAGCATCCAAAAGCAGAAGCAATGGATGGAAACTAATCAAGGAGAGAAGCAACCTAGAATTAAGGAGAAACTTCCTAACAGTGAGGACAATTAACCAACGGAACAGCTTGCCTTCAGAAGTTGTGGGTGCTTCATCACTGGAGAAGAGACTGGACAATCACTTGTCTGAAATGGTATAAGGTCTGCTTGAGCAGGGAGTTGGACTAGAAACCTCCAAGGTCCCTTCCAATTCTATTCTGATTGTATTATTAAGACTGGAGACAAGTTTGTGGATGATTTGGAATGGGTACTTTTTGACAAATTCAGATTATCCTCTGGATCCCCATGTTAATATGATTGCAAATCAAAGCTATATGGGCTTTTTGTATATTGCAAATGAAGCGGGGTGGAGACTTACCCATTTCCAGAGCTTTGATGAGGCCTGTTGGTTAAAGGTCTTTCTAATAATATAGGTGACATTCTCCTACAATCTGAAGTAACAAACTGTCTTTTAGGCAGCATCAGAATAACTACAAGTATGTCTTAGCTGTTTTATAATGAGTTGCAAATAGTGGATAGTGTTCAAATATAAAGAGTTTGAAAGGGCAGAACAGGAATAGTATTGGTGCTTTTGAACTTTGGTTTTGGAGAAGACTCCTGAGAATATTGTGGACAGCCAAAAACAAAAATAAATAACAAATAGATAATTGAACAAATGAACCTAGAAATGAACAAATGAACCACTTGAGGCACAAATGATCAGGCTCAAATTATCCCTACTTCTGATACATTATACAAAGGCATAACTCTCTGGAGACGCCTCTAATGCTAGGAAAGATAAGAAAAAGAGGGGCACAAACAGCAGCAAGGTGGATGGATTCAGTTACAATGGTGAGTGTTGGAAGAACTAAAACACCAGGTTAAAGCCAAATGACTATGGAGAAAATCTATGAATGTGATTACTGAGTCAACTACAACATGTGATGACAGAATGACATAATTCATACATAAGTACTGCAGTGGGCATATGAGTTTCTATGCATTCGAGATAGAATAACCAGCCATTGTAGTACTAGCACCGGTAAAACTCAATGGCTGACCTTGTAAAGCATATTTAACTGAGGAAACTAAAATGACCCAGTCTACTAATCCTATGGGGATTAGAGTTAGTCTCAAACTTGGGCTTGTTTGGGATAAAACCAACTCAGGCTGTTGTCCACAGGGTTGACCAAAGAGTTAATTTCCTAAAAATGGTTCAGAAGTTCTAGGAAGACCTTATGAAAATGAGGAACTTTAGACATCTCATCTGTATATCTCTTCATTTTTAGTAATGTTTTTGGTGGTGCCAATCCTGATTGTGTCACTAGGGATTTAAAAATTATTTTCACTATAATTAAAAATGCCAGAAAGTTGGAAAACAAGTGATATATTTTCATTCCTTTGCTGAAGCTGGGAGTACTTTAAATATAGTCACTGTCTGGCTGATCAATATATCCTTGATTGCAATAGTACTTCACAATTGCACTTCCACTTATATACTGCTTCACAGTGCTTTACAGCCCTTTCTAAATGGTTAACAGAGTCAGCCTCTTGCCCCCAACAATCTGGGTCCTCATTTTACTCATCTCAGAAGGATGGAAGGCTGAGTCAGCCTTGAGCCTGATGAGATTTGAACTGCCAAAGTCAGCAGAAGTAGTCTGCAGTACTGCATTCTAACTACTGTGCCACCACGGCTCAATGTATTATCAAGCCACAACATTAACAGAGGGGAATTTCAGTTAGCTTAGTCATGTGAACTATGGACTATAGGTGAATAATGTTGCAATAAAATGGCTCTTGCTCCTTTTTGTTTGCCACTAGTGTTAAAATTTCATGTCTGAAGTTTTAGCACACCGTGGACATAATTATTGGTATGATATCCTTGTTGTGTTAGTATAGAAATTGGCAGAGGTAACTGTTAACCTTTGACCAATAACCCTAACCCATTTGGGAGGGAAAGGGGAAAACATAGTTTTCTATATACATAGAAAAGTACATAGTTCTGACATAACTAATACAGAAGTCATTAATGAGCAAAAAAAAAGGAACAACAGACAATAAAATTGTTATGATACCATATAGTACCATATTTTTACTTAGATGGCAGATTATAGCATGGGCAGGATACCTAGAAGTTTCATTTTTATGTGTGTTATTTTATAGTTGGATATTTTATTTTGCTAGTATATAATTTCATATACAAATGAATATATGTACGTGTACACTCATTTTTGCTGATGTTACTATTTTGACAAACTTAAATCTTCGGTGAACTTTTAAAAATGATGTGCTCGGTAATAGATTCTCCAAATATTAACATCACAAAAATGGAAAACTGAAGTAATGAAAACCTGGTCCTTAAGGTGGCCCTCTATCATCAGGTAAGGAGAATTCTTAAAGTGAAGTGCAGATACAAATTCAGTACATTTTCTACCTACAGTGCAATAATCAGACATTCAGCCTGATCATTTGGCAGTATGAAAATAAGCTTGGGAAATCCATGGTGAGCTTTATGCATGAAAGGGTACAGATTTGTCTATGTGGATTTCCAAGGATGTACCAGGGAATGCTTAATGTTGGATCTTTATTTTTGATTAATATTTATGTTTGTTTTGCTGCAATCTCAACTTTCAAAATGAGTACCCCAAGTGAGGGCAGATTCAACATCATCATGATTAAACATCAATCAATTGATGATTACTACAGCAGCTGGCAACTCACCAAAATGAACCCTGCACTTCCAACCTCATACAACTAAAAAAACTTTTCACATTGGTACAAACCATGCACAAGGGCGCAGTTTACATTTTTATTCAGCTCCGTTTCATCAAGTAAGTAATCATACATGATACATATACAGTTCTAAACTTCCAATAGAATATAACCCAGCCACAACAAACTACCCCACCACTCCCAATCACTTGATTAGAATGTAGTCTTTGGAATTAAAAGGGCAACCTGTCTTTAAACACAAGCCAGAATGTTGCTTCTCCATGCGTACTTGTGAAAATAGTGATCAATAGTGAAAATGGTAGGAGAAAGGGGAGAAAGGATTGCTGACTGCTTTTGAAATGGATAACTGCTAGGCGCATCAGATAGGATCAAGATGACAGAGGCTTCACATAACTTACTGAAATGTAACCTATCATTTTAAGGCTGTACATATAGTCTAATTTCAAAAGCTGGCTTCAGACTCAACCATTGGCAAAAAATAAATTTCCCCTGTCCAGCAGCCTGCTGGTTAGAGGTGTAAAAGCCATCAGAGAAAAAGAATGGATTTTCATGGTTAATTAACTTAAAACAGCCACAAAAAACACCAATCCACCTCTACAATGAATTAACATGTTGTGCAGTGGTGGGATTCAAATTTTTCTACTACCAATTCTGGCTTGGTGGGTGTGGCAGGGGAAGGATACTGTAAAATCTCCAGTCAGAGATGGTATTTGCCGGTTCTCCAAACTACTCAAAATTTCCACTACCGGTTCTCCAGAATTGGTCAGAACCTGCTGAATTCCACCTCTGATGTTGTGTGAACCAAGCCAATAAGTGAACCCATATCATCTGACTGGAGCCTTTTGCCTAATGTTGGCATATGGAATCTAACAGATTATCCCACTGACCCCGAAGTTCATACTGAGATACAGTATAGAATATTGAGCTATGTGCAGAATATGACATTATGCATGTTCTGAATGTAATTTTAAGAAAACATTCGAGCTGCCTGTGCAGCTCCATCCCAAACATCCCACTTCGAGGCTAATGTTTATTTGCCATCCCACTAGCTATTTTGGTTCAGGTGGCTCTAGTTCGGAGGCAACAAATACTTCGTGCAATGGAAATCAAAGAGCTCGCATTTAAGTCCCGCCAGGAATACTTGGCGCTGCCAAGCGTCAAAGTCACCCTCAACTATTTCCACCCTTTCCATCCCCATTCCCCACAGTGCTGAGACGCGTCAAGAGTTACAATGACTGGCAGCCCGATCCTCAAACCAGTTAAACAGGAGCCTTTGGATTTAAGCCGGCTTAGTCCTATTGAGCGAGAGCTAAACCCTGGAGAGGCCCAGGAAGCCGAGAGGGCGATGCGGTAGCCAAGACTCCATCCTGCTCCGCCCTGGATTAAAAGCCTTGGCGTCTGAATTTTATGACGGGGTGGCGGGATTGTTTGCGGGGATCGAGATCTCCGGGGTCCGCGTGGAGGCAGGAGTTGTGGGGAGCGGTGAGTTTAAGGGGCAGCCGGACGAAGGGAAGCCGATGCATCTGCAAGGGCGGGAACAGGGGAGGGGGGCGAATCAGGCGGAGTCCAAGAACAAAATCTGGGTGGGGAGAGGAGGGACGGGAGGGGGGGCTTTCTCGCGGAGTTCTGTAGAGTTTTTTGGGGGTGGGGGTGGGGGGTAGGGGAACGTCCCCCGTCTCTTTGTGAAGTTAGGCTGCGGGGCCGCGGAGTCCTGAGACCGGCGGGCGAGGTAGCGTTTTTTTGCGGCCCTTCGACGGAGCCCCTTCGCTTCCTTTGTCCAGCGCGGCTACTTCGTCACTGGCTCTCCGCCCCACCGGGCAACAGCCAAGCACGTCCGCCCCAGGCTGTGTAGATACGAAGGAAGGAAGGGAGGGAGGAAGGGAGGGAGGGAGAAAAGGAAGGAGATAAATGAGAAAGACAGAAGATGAGGAAGGAAGGCAGGAAGGAGATAAATGAGAAAGACAAGAGAAGGAAGGAAGGAAGGAAGGAAGGAAGGAAGGAAGGAAGGAAGGAAGGAAGGAGTTAAATAAGAAAGACAGGAAATGAGGAAGGGAGAAAAGGAAGGAGATAAATTAAAAAGACGAGGAAGGGAAGAAGGAAAGGAAGGGTAGAAATGTGGAAAGAAGAAAGGAATGAGATAAATGTGGAAGGAAGGTAGGAAGGAGATAAATGAAGGAAGAAAGGAGAGAAATATGGAAAGAAGGAAGGAGAGAAATGAAGGAAGAAGGGAGGAAGAAGATGAAGGAAGGAGATAAATAGGTGGAAGGAAGGAGCATGGGTTTCTCTTCTTCCTTCTTGACATCAACAAAATGCCAGATTTTTGCTTTGTGTTTTATGATGAAGAAAGGAAGGGGAAACTTTCCCTGTGTCTTGTTAACCAAGCCTGAATAACACCACAGGATTTGGGAGTCCTCCTATCAGGCCATTTTTTTTCCACCCAAAAGTTCTCTAGCCTCCCAGAGAAGAAAGAGTCAATCAGACTTTGTAATTGGGAGAGGGAGGGAGGGAGAGAGAGAGAAAGAAAATGGATATGGAGAATCACAGGGTTCGATAAAAAATCCCCCCCCCCCAGTTTTCTAATGCCTGTGGAGATTGAGGGGTGTCAGAGGAACCAAGGAGGTGTGATGCATGATGGGGGGTAGCCCCCTAACTCTGCAGAAAAACGTTAAGGGCTCTGTGAACTTAGCCTGCACTTGGTGTCTGTCTTCATTTAATGTATCTCTATGGTGTTTTTCTTTTAGTCTATTATAGCTTACCCAATAAATAAGGAAACCACAAACACCAGGAAAATATTTAGGCAAAACCGTCATCACACATCTGATGGCTCCAAGTGATAAATTCTGAGGAGTGTTGATTGAGAATATTTGATATTTGTTTTCCCTCCCCTCCCCCAAACATGTGCACGTTGTCATAAACGAAAGGGGAGAGTCTGTGCATTTGGTCGGCCCATCACTTTTTGCCCTGTGTTGTTGACAGAGCCTAAAGGCAGAACAAGAAGCAATAGATGGAAACTTATCAAAGACAGATCCAGTTTAGGACTAAGGATAAATTTTCTGACAGAACAATTAATCAGTGGAACATCTTGCCTTCAGTTGTGGGTGCTCCATCACTGGAGGTTTTAAAGAAGAGATTGGACAGCCATTTTGTCTCAAATGGTATAGGGTCTCCTGCATGAGCAGCGGGGTTGGACTAGAGAACCTTCAAGGCCCCTTTCAATCCTGTTATTCTGTTAACAGAGCTGATCCGAAGCTCTTAGATAACTAACCAGGGGTCAAAGCCTTATCAGAAATGACAGAAACCATTCATAATGGTTCACTCTCTTTGGTTATCAATGCAAAGGGCCTGACCAGAACATTTGATGAACATTTCCCTTGAAAATATCATGTGCTTTTCAGAGTACATAGTATATAGATGGAGAGCTGTAAATCAGCTTGTACAGGAGAAATGTAGGACTGCTACACTGATGCATAAAATCAATTAAATTGAGATTTTCTTATTCTCAGCCCAAAGTTGACATGTTCTAGCAGAGACGGTTTGTGCGCTTCGAGTCAATTGTTGATTCCTGAGGACCGCCTGGGCTAGTCCCTGAAGTTTTTTTTTACCAGATTTCAGAAGTGGTTTGCCCTTGCCTGCCTCCTAGGGCTGAGAGGGAATGACTGGTCCAAGGTCACTCGACTGGCTTTTGCCTAAGGCAGGACTAGAACATCCAGTCTCCTGGTCATAAAATGGAGCAAAGTTCACTTAACAACTGTCTTGCTTAGCAACATAAATTTTGGGCTCAATTGCAGTCATAAGTAGAGGACTACCTATACATGAAGTATATGGGGAGGTATTCCCCAATTAATGAACGTAAGTGGGATTGGAAACTGCATCTCTAACCACCAATATGGTCATAAACCAGAAAAATCATGTGATTGCAGTGATTTATGCCGGCAGTTCTTGTCATGGCCATGAAGTGAGTGAATAACAGTTGTTGAGTCATATCACATGATCATAACTTGTGACTTCCTGCTGGTTTCCCCATTGACTGTGCTTGACAGAAGCCATCAGCAAAGGTCACAGAATGGTGATCAAATGACCATGGGATCTGCAATCCTTGTAATTGTGCATAAATTGCCAGATGCCCATATCATAATCACATGACCACAGAGATGGTCACTTCAAGGACCATCAGTAAGCCCGCTTGTTTATCGCTGCTATAACTTGGAATGGTTGTTGAATGAGTGATCACTAAGCAAGCACTACCCATATATCAATTCAGACAAGGTTGGCAGAAACCATAGCACTTTTTTTTGTGTACTGAAAAAAATATACAGATACAGATAATCAGAGTTGTAAGGTACCTTGTAGGTCATCTAGTCCAACCCCCCCGCCTAAGCAGGAGACCCTACCTACACCATTTCTGACAAATGGTATACAATTGGAACAAAACAGGTATGATCACAATCAAGTGAAACATCTTTATTTAGCAGAGTCAGCATCTTTTTTAATAACTTACACAGCAGCATTACTGGTTGTTGTTACAATAGGTTTGTGGTTTTTAGCCTTTTGATTACATGTCATGCATTTTAAATTTAGTCCTGGGGCTGTAAATGTATATATGGGTATGTGCGTCACATCTGGCATAAATATGACCTAGACTCCGCCATACTTAAATACTGTCTGTCAGTCTGTTCAAGAGAAGCTCCTGAAATGAACGATCAACTATCCTCAATTTTACCTCTCTCTCTCTCTCTCTCTCTCTTTTTTTAAAGAAGAAACTCAAAGCTTTATGTGCACAATCTCAAGCTCTTTGGGGGGAAAGAGGAGGCAAATTTATAAGGGGTGTTTTATGTCTGTTTCTTTCCAGGAAGAAGCTCCAAGATAATTGGACAAGAGCTCTGAGCTGGTCACCGATAGGCCTTGGTTCCTGGCGTCAAGCCCACAGTTGTGTGGAGTTGTTTTTCATAGTGGCTGTTGGGTGGATTCAATAGCACAGGAGGGCAAGGGTGTGAAAATAGGGGAGGCTCCCAAGATAGCAAGACAATAATGGGCGGTAGGGAGTGGGGGAAGGGATAAGCCTGGATTTGGAAATATCTCCAAGATAAAATACCCTGATTTGAGTGCATAGGTGTGGCTAAGTGTGCGAGGTAGAAGTTGAGGCAACATTTGACAAAGAGGCGTGCCTGGTACAGAAAATGGAGAAGGTGCCAGCAAGGCCAGGACCAATAGAGGCACCAGAACGAGCAGGAAGGGACCATTTTGCCATTCAGCCTAGGATCAGATGGGAACAACTACCCCATGGGGCAATGTTACAGCCAGAGGGCATGCCTACCCAGTGGTGGGAATACCTGAAGACTATGCCTTCTCCGGCCACGGTATGGGGCAGCCCAGGCCTCCAGGAACTGACTTCTTTGGATGACTTGATTGCTTTTGAGAGAATGTTTGGAGTCTGTCAGTGGCCTAGACTGAAGCCGGCGTTCAGGGCAGAAGGCCAGCAAGCGTTGAGTGGCAAGAACACTAGAGGCAAAAAAGCCTGCGGGAGAGTCAAGACCATCTTCCTGCACGAAAGCTCCCCCAGCACAGAGCTACACCGCCAGCGCTTCAGGCAATTCTCTTACCAGGAAGCCGAGGGGCCTCGGGAGGCCTGTGGCCGCCTGCGAGAGCTCTGCCATTGCTGGCTGGAGCCAGAGTGCCGCACCAAAGAGCAGATTGTTGAGCAGCTGATTTTAGAGCAGTTCTTGATCGTCTTGCCTCAGGACATCCAAAATCAGGTCAGGGAACGTAGCCCAGAGACCTGTGCCCAAGCAGTGGCCCTGGCCGAAGGCTTCGTTTTGCGGCAGCAAGAAGACAAGCAGGAGGAGGAGCAGGTGAGGCCTGTTTGTTCCAGGACAAGCAGTAGGCGTGGTGCGGCTTCAGAACTGGCCCCCTTCTCCCTCTGCCTATGACTTTGGATGCTGCGTTTAAGACATATCCACCTCAGGCTAGCCAATTTACGCCACTTCTCTTAGGGTGGAACCTATGGCTCCTGTCAGTCCCAGATCAAGAGACCAATGCTGAAGGATGGTTGACCTCCACTCAACCCGTTCACCTTTTTCTTTAAAAATGTGCGGTAACGGCTACTATTGCTGAATAAACTGGCCGTGAGGAAACCTGCTCATCTCTTTAGTCACCTGCGTGGAATAAAGAGAAAGGAAGTGGTTCCCCCATTAATGAAAAAAGGCTCCTTTCTTTCCTATTTGACTAGTTTTCAACTGCTGAAGCCTCAGGTTTCCAAAACAGGCTGCAGAAGCTGGAACCCTGAGAAAAAGCAAAATGGGAAATACAATTTGTGCTATACAGGTAGTCCTCGGCTTACAACAGTTCATTTAGTGACTATTCAAAGTTACAACAGCACTGACAAAAAGTGACTTATGACCATTTTTAACACGACAGGTGCAGCATCTCCATGGTCACATGATCAAAATTCAGAGGCTTGGCAACTGGTTCATATTTATGACGGTTGAAGCGTCCTGGGGTCATGTGATCAGCTTTGGCGACCTTCTGACAAGCAAAGTGGGTGGGGAATGCCGATTCACTTAACAAGCATGTTACTAACTTAGCAAATGCAGGGATTCACTTAACAACTTTGGCAAGAAAAGTCATAAAGTTGGGCAAAACCCACTTCACAAATGTTTCACTTAGCAACATACATTTGGGGGCTCAATTGTGGTCGTAACTTGAGGACTACCTGTATTAAACTTCTGATGGCACAGAAGTAGCAATAAAGGAAGGGTTTTGCTCTGCTTTCTCTGATGGTTTCAAAATACTCCTTATTGGGGCATGGCCTGATAGGGGAGGCAGCCAAGTGCTCCTACAAACTCATCACTATTGGGAATCAACATGCTCATAGGGCTAAAGAGGAATGAGCAATGTGGGCCCTCCATCTTTGGTGGAGTTCAGCTCCCATCTTCCCCCACTAGTGGCAAGTATTCTACCAGGCTGGAAGGAAAACTGAAATTTAACAAATCTGGAAGGCTTACTCATTTCCCGCCCCAAACTACTGAGAAAGTCCCCCAATTCTGCTTCTAAATGCTCTCTGCAGTTGTCACATTACACAAACATATCCTTCTAAAAATATATAAATGATTGCAGAAGTGGAAGTTCCATTCTTCAACACGGAGGGAGAACCTTTCTACCAAATAAATGGAGCATAATAATAATATTGTTAAATTCAGGTCATAATGAAAGATACTTTACTTGAAGTCTGGAGATGCTTAAATGACGAAAGGGGGTGAAATATAAAGTTTCCACTAAATGTTGAAATTTATAAAAGCACTTTTTATTGTTCTTTCACCCAGTTCTGTTTATAAGGTTTCATTTTTTTTTATCACTAGCTGCTTATCACTCTTTTACTCTTTTGCTGTTTCTATTTCCATCTTCAGAGAATCCTACCAAGGAGGGGAAAAATAGTTGTGCACAAGAGTTTGGTGGTATTGAAAGTTATTTTACTGTGGGATCACACAATATTCTGATTCCTAAGACATGGTGAATGGATGATTTAATATACACAATACAATAACCTAACCTAAACAAATTATATTATGGCACATAGAGATTGTGTGTGAATCCAGCCAGCCATTCTCACTCTCTTATCAGTAAAACTTGGGTGCTGGGAAAATACTATAATCTCGGAGACTCCTCTTGCCCAGGTTAAAATAGCCCATAATACATATATAAACTGCAACCATGTTCCACTTGGATTGGCACGGATTGTTTTTTAGAAGCACAGTATTCTTTTAAATCTTAATAGCTGAGGTCAACTGCACAACTCCTTGAATCAATGTACACTGTCTACAGTCCAGTACACCTTCACCCATCATGGTTCTATGAACTTGACCTTCATTCTTGTTTCAGGGGACTCGACCATCTCAAGAGGTGGCTGTGGATTTTTCCAAAGCACGGAGTGTGTCAGTCGATGTCAGGCAGCAGCAATCGGGCCCCCGGAGAAGGAGGGTGGATATTGTTAACCTCTCAAAGGGTAAGGACATCTTGAGCCTCAGGTTGCAATTTGCCGCTTTTGAATAGCTATGAATTGATGTCTTTGTGGAGTAGATGGCATTTTTAGGACAATATGGTGTAGAAAGGATGGGGTGGGAATTGTATTAAGAGAATAAGAGTTGGGGGGTGGGACTTTAAAGGTCTTTAAGTCCAGGGGTCCCCAACCCTTGGGCCATGGCCCACTACTGGATCTTGAGTCTTTCAGAATCGGGCAGTGGAAGTGGCGGGGGAGCACACACTCTCCATTTGCATGAGCGGCCAGGTGCGCATGCCCTCCACTTGCGCAAATGGAGCTGTGTGCAGGCTTGCCTACCACACGCATGTGACCGTCTTCGTCCCCCGCCGGTCCGCAAAACTGAAAAGGTTGGGGAACTCTATTCTAGTCCAACTTCCTGCTCGTGTAGGAAATCCTATACCAAAATGTTAAAAGCGTAAGAACAAAATATAAAATTTAAAAGAGGCAAGGAATGTTAAACATTAATTAAAAGGCAGAATGAGGGCTTTCAGGGTACTAACTAGCCCCACGGCTGCATGCTCCTCTGTGACCCACAAGTAAGGCTGCAAAGCCATGTTTTTAGATCTTTATGGAAGCTCAGGATAATGGGGGCTGCCTCAACTTTGAGGGGAGAGCGTTCCACAGAGCGGGGGCAATGGCAGAGAAGGCTCTCTTCCTGGATCCCGCCAGAATTCTTTAACAATGGGGCCCGCAATGTACCTTCCCTGCCTGATCTGGTGGGCCGGGCTGATGTAATGGGATGAAGATGGTTCTGTAGGTAATCTTGCCCCAGGCCATGCAGGACTTTAACCAACACTTTGAACTAGAGAACAAGAATATTTATAAAAACATCTATGACAGTGGTCTCTAAACGTGGCAAATTTAAGACTTGTGGACTTCAACTCCCAGAATTCTAGGAGTTGAAATCCACAAGTCTTAAAGTTGCCAGGTTTGGGGACCCCTGATCTATGAGGTGCTCCTTCTTAGCCATGATCTGTGGAGCTGTATTGTGATCATCTTTGTCCCCTTGCAGGTGTCAATCTAGCTAGCAGAACTGAGAAGCTGGAACCGCAGCCTCTGGAGTCCAAGGAAGAGGGGAATGTGGCAGTCCATCCAGTCTCAGGGGGAACCCAAAGGAGAGAGAAAAGCCACGTCTGCATCGAATGTGGCAAAAGCTTCACGCGCCCCTCAGATCTGGCAAAACATCTTAACGTTCACACAGGCGAAAGACCCTACCTTTGTGTTGAGTGTGGGAAAAGCTTTAGCCAGCTTTCCCATCTCACAAGACATCAGAAAATCCACTCAGGAGAGAAGCCTCACATCTGCTCTGAGTGTGGAGATACCTTCAGCCAACGGGCCTATCTTGTCAGCCATCAAAGGAGTCACTCGGGAGAGCAGCCATACCACTGTTCTTATTGCCAGAAGTGCTTTAGCCACCAGTCTGCTCTGAAGATCCACGAGCGGAACCACATGGGCCAGAAGCCCTATGCCTGCACCGACTGCGGGAAACGGTTTGTGTCCTCCTCTTCTCTCACGACACACAGAAGGATCCACACAGGAGAAAAACCTCACGCCTGTGGGGTGTGTGGGAAAAGGTTCATCCAACACTCCAACCTGGTCTCTCACCAGCGGACGCACTCGGGGGAGAAGCCATTTTCCTGTAAGGTGTGCAGCAGGAAGTTTGCCTACCCTTCGGATCTTACCCGGCACCAAAAAATCCATACAGGAGAGAAACCTTACGCCTGCGATGAGTGTGACAGAAGATTCACCAGGCTGTCTGATCTCATTACACACCAACGTATCCATACGGGAGAAAAACCATACCGCTGCCTTGAGTGTGGGAGAAGATTCAGGCAGAGGGGTGTCCTGGTGAAACATCAGAGGTGCCATTCAAAAGAAAATCCAAAAGGAAGTGAGGCTGTCCAGTCCAGTGAGTCTCAAGTTAAAAGTCAGTTCAAAAGTCATGAGATCAAACTGGAGAAAGAACTGGAAGATCAGGAGGAGGAACCCAGTTTGATTCTCTTTCCCAGTCCCTGATGCTTATCGCTGTTATACTGCTGCTTACAGAGGGATCAATCATTCCATAGGATAAAGAATCAACTTTTTTCTGTTCCTCTACTACTGACTAAAAAGTGGACATGGAGGTTGTTGATGATGGTATAATGAAGCTCATCATGCTCTCTATTTGCGTTTTTATAAGTAACACTCCAAAAAGAGAAGAGGCTTTTATAGGTGGGTTTGTAACTTCAGGCGAGAAAAGGCAGGAAGAATAATCTTGCCTTTTCTTCTGTTATATGGCTGGTTTCCCTTTACCTGCAAACAGTAATCTTTTGAAGCAGTTGGAATGACTCTGCATGCAGCAGTTGGAGTAAATCTTTTCCAAGTAATTGACTGTCCTTTGCTAGCCAGGTAAAAGAGAAATAGCTCTTTTTCGGAAAGAATAGCTTCCGAACAACTCAAATGAGGCAGAAACTGGACAGAAACATACCAGAACAGCTGGTACGTTCAAGGTCTAGTTAGGACAATGATTGCTTTTACTCTATATGGTGATTTAAATGCAGTTTTTCTCTGCCTGAAGTATCAGACAGAGACTAGAAAAACAGACAGATCATCATAAGGTCAGCAGGTCCTGGGCAATATACATGCTGGGATAATGGTATGAGCTGGTAATCTTTTTAGATTGGCAACGATGATAGCTCTGTCAGCTTCTACTTCTTTATATTAAAACCCAAGCAGCTGTCAATCCATCTGGGATATTGGATGTCATCCTCTCATTTCTGCCCTGGCTCATGTCCAGTAGAATTTAAGGGATAAGGATGTGATAAGGATAAACTTTTATCAGGTTGGGCCTTTGGTCCCATCTTGCCTAAATGGCCACATATCTCTAAGAGATCAGAAAGGGCAACTTTCCAAACAATAAAATATACATTCAAAGAAGGGCAACTTTCCCAGCTTGTGACTAGAAATTCTTGAAAGGAGCTAGTAAAATTTATGGTTGGGGCTTTTGTGGTCATGTCAGTTGTGGACTGCTTCACTAACTCTAGTAAGTCTTCTGAATTACACTACCTAATGTTTTATTCTGAGATTTATTTTTATAAATTATAGCAAGCAGATAACTCCCCAAAGTATGGAACTTCATTGTTTGCTCCACGCTTGCAGATAGTCTGACTGATATGATCCAGGCGACAAACGTACCTCCCAATTATAATATTAATGAAGGAAAAGTCATGGATGAAGCTCTAGAATAGATTGCAGATGGAGATGTGAGCAAAAGGAGGAATATGTAAATGTGGTTTGTGCATTGTGGGGACTTGTAGCAAATGAGCTAAGTTTTTATTGGCTGCTGCTACTTTTATTTTATTGAGACCTAGCTTCAGATATAGACAGAGAAACTTAACTTGCTCAAGTGTATCTATTAAAGGTTCTAGAACTATAGGAGGCAAAATAGATAGCAATTCAATTTATCTCAGTGGCTGATGTCCCACTGCTGTTTTCTGGCCAGCATTGCCATTTAAATAGAAATAAATTGAACACAACATTGGTAAACTTAGGATTGGTACTATCCTAAGGGAAGAAATAATAGCTCCCGAGAGTGCTCTATTGATGATGATAAAGTGACATCTCTTCTAAAAGTGTAGGACATATTTTAGAACGAATTCAAATCTTTGATACATATTTAGAAAAGTCCTACCTACAGCTTTAGGCAGGACTATGTGTAAGATTCTGAAGTGGTCAAGAACTTAGCATATTGAAGAGGTTATATTTAATATTAACATTAAGAGGTTATTAATGTTCACAATTGTGAAGATAAAATTTATAAATATGCTGGTAGAATTCCAGAAGCAAGGTGTTTAATCATTAAGCATTTGGGCACTTAACTTTTTCCTCTCCTCCAATAATGAACTAACACTTGGATATCTTTCAACAGATATCCAATGCACAAGTCACATACTTTTAGAAGATGCCTATTTTAGAGGCAAAAAATACTGACAGCCTGACATGATTTTAATAAACAGAACTATGATCCTATTTATTATTAGTCCTCTTTTTCTTAAGTTTGGAAAGGTGAGCAACAGGGCAGTTGTAAATATTTTTTCCTTATTTTGCTTCGGTCACCTCAACCTAGCAATTAATTTCCCTAAGATAAATACAGTTTTAAAAAAACAGCAAAAAAAAAAAAAAAAAAGATAGCTGCCCAGTCAACTTCATAACAACAGGAAAGTTATCAGAGATGGCTGATCGTGGTCTACCTCATTTGTGTTCATGTGCTGTGATACATGGATTAGTTTCTCCTATACAACTAGCTGGCTGGCTGAATGTTATGCGGTTGTGCATAGATCTATTCTGCTAACAGGATCAGGGTGGGGTAAGCAGGATCCGCAAATATTATATCCTAAAAATATAACCTTAATTCAGAGGACTAATTAACTTTAGCCCCAAACAGACCAAGATCATGCAAACTACCATGTTTCTCCAGCAATATGGCCCCCCCAATAGGAAGACCTAGCATGTTTTCTAGGCATAAAATGAAATTAAGCCCCTCCCCCCAAATTTAGGCCTAGTTTAAAACATGCGTAATTGTGGGGTGGGGAAGGCGGGGGGAATTTGCCATTAGGAGTGCCCCGCGGGCAGCTACGCCTCACCATCAGCCGCTCCTAACAGCCAATCATGGTGGAGCAGAGGGCTCCCTTACCCCTCCCTTACTTGGGTCAGCAGGCGGGCGGCATTGACGTGGATGTCCGGCAGTGTTTCAGCCGCTTTGCAGGCCTCTGTAGCTTCCATGGTTCCCAGCGGTGCTGGCGCCTCTCTCGCCAGCGCCGTCTCCAACAACAGCGTCTGAGTCGCTCCCGCTTTTCCCGTCCCCGTAACAACAGGAAAAAAAACATTTTGAGGTACCTGGGAGCGCTGCGCGCTGCGTTTTGGTTTAATCCCGAGCGGCTGGGTGGGCGTGAGAAGAGCCGAGCAAGCGTCTCTGCTGCTGCTACCCTTGGTGCTCCAGCCTCGGGCTCTGCAAGTTTGCAAAAGTCCCAGTGCGCAGCCTGTTCCTGCATTCCAAGCGCCCAGGCCGAGCTGCAGCTGTCCCTCTCTCGCCAGTGCCATCTCCAATAACAGCGGCAGCAGCAGCGGGAACTGTGGAAGCGTTTCAGCTGCTTCTCGGGTGGGGGAGCCGCCTCCGTAACTTCCATGATTCCCGCTGCTGCTGTTATTGGAGATGGCGCTGGCGAGAGAGGGACAGCTGCAGCTCGGCCTGGGCGCTTGGAATGCAGGAACGGGCTGCGCACTGGGGACTTTTGCAAACTTGCAGAGCCCAAGGCTGGAGCACCAAGGGTAGCAGCAGCAGAGATGCTCGCTCGGCTCTTCTCACGCCCACCCAGCTGCTCGGGATTAAACCAAAACACAGCGCGCGGCGCTCCCAGGTACCTCAAAATCTTTTTTTTCCTGTTGTGACGGGGGAAAAGCGGGAGCGACTCAGATGCTGTTGTTGGAGACGGCGCTGGTGGGGGGGGGGGGAGAAATTAATTCACCGCCGAAAAGACGTCCTAGCCGTTTTTTCGGGGCTCAAAAAAAAAAAAAAGGCCCGGCCTTATTTTGTGAGAAACACGGTACTTACCAGTGTTTCTCCATTTTCCTACTCCCAAGAATGAAATGACAGAGGCCCAATTTCCATTTTATCTTGGGGGGAGACAGGAAGCTGGCTTGGTGGAAGTGACAAACAGCATCCTAGTCTCTTTTATGGCAGCTAGAAGAAATTAAAAAATGGGTGACCATGTGACTGACTCGGCCTCCTGTGTGATGTGTTGTTGGCATACAAAGGAAATCATTGACTGGAAGGAAGGATAATAGACTTCATATTCTTTGAACAGGATTCATGTTTAGCTAGGGTATAATCAGGGTACTTACAAAGTTGGCATGCAGAGCACAACTTAGCACCTTACCTTCCAGCTTAAAAGGGTAGTATTCCCAATTCTTGTATGTATACAGGGATACGTATATATACAAGCACTCCTCAACACAACAGTTCATTTAGCGACCAAAGTTACAACGTTGCACTGAAAAATGTGACATGATCGTTTTTCATAGTTTATAGTTATACCTTTGCAGCATCCCCATGGTCATGTGGTCAAAATTCAGGTGCTTGGCAATTGGTTCATATTTACGATCGTCGTTGCATCCCAAGGTGTTCCCTTTTGTGACCTTCTCACAAGTAAATGTCAAGGAGGAAACTAGATTCACTTAACAACCAGGTTACTAACTTATCAACTGAAGTGATTCACTTAACTGTGGCAAGAAAAGCCGTACAATGGGGCAAAACTCACTTAACAAATGTCTCACTTAACAACAGAAATGTTAGGCTCCATTGTGGTCGGAAGTCGAGGACTATTTGTAGTCTGCTGAAGCAACTTCATTCTGAATCAATGCTTAGCTAAGAGGACAAAGTTGTAATTCTCAAGGGTCAACATATTGAGGAGGGGACTCACAAATATTTTAAGATGGAGACAAGATAAGTCCCTGACATTTTAGTTTTTAAAAATTTTTTCATTAAGAATAAAAAAATTACATACACTTATAAGGATCCTTCTTTGGGTGTGTGTGTGTGGAATGGGTGCTTCGTTTCCATCATTTTAGGTCCCAGTTGTTTCACTGGGTGATGGATAGGCTAAGAAACACATGGTGGAGAACCAAGTGGTATAAAGTACAATATTATATCTTCTCATATTTTATTCAGGTCCTAATGTCTATCCAACTCAGAATGTTAGATTACCAGACTTTTTGTGATATCGTAAACATGGAAAAATGTACATGAGCAGAACATCAGTTAACCATCAGCAAGATGGCCAACATTAAAATTCTGCAAAGTATAAATTATTTGGATGATATGAGCATAAAAATACTGGCTTGCAGGTTCTGTCTCTTGTAGCTGAAGAAAAACTACAGAAGAGAGGTTAGCTCCAAAGTTTTGGAAATCTCAGAATAAATGAATCCTAAAGTTTGGTGGGTGGGAAAATCCGTAATTAACATTGCACCTGCCACTTGCTTTGCTGGAAAGGAAGAAAGAGAGTTTAAAAGCTATTGGTTTAATTAGAACCTGGATAAACATGCATAACTCTGGAAATTGGTTAAGCAAATACTATCATCTTTCACTTAGCCCCAAAGCTGAAAACAGAACAAATATACTATGTACAAAAATGAAAATGATGTAAGAAAGCAGAAATATTATGAGGCCTTTGATCGGTTAAGAAGGAGGGCAGTATTCCATAGGAGAGACAAGTGTTGTTCTTGGAAAAAACGACTACCATTTTGCTGGGAATATTATGAATCGCCTCAGTAATATTGGAGTCTTAAATAATTTGCTCTTTTTCCTCGTGAAGAGGTAAGGATAGCTCTTACATTTAAAAAGGGGGAACGTATTTCCCAAGTTCTTATAGTTTCATTTTTTTAAGCTTGTCTAGCATGTGTCGGACTTAAAGTCTTTATTAAGACCTGCCTTCATGCTGATGAATGAGTGGTGACCGCTTATTTATAACTTTACAGAAGAGTTATTTCCAAATTTTAAACGGGTATTTGATTAATTTGATTAAAAAATCCCTCATGTTTACATATATACTTGGGATTGAAACTGAATCTAACTTTGTTTTATTGAATATTGCCCTTAGTTATGGGGAAAAAAATAGATTTTTAAAATAAAATAAATTCTATAAATTGGGATATAGAAACAGCCAAAGCTGAAGGGCACATTTCTTTTGCCAAAGAAATAGCAGGATTTGTTCAAAGCTATCCATTAACAGCTGCTGAAACTAATATTTATCCAGCCCTCCCATAGGCATTAGGTGCCACTATAAGCAGCAGCTCTTGTCTCAGATTCCTATTATAGAGATAAAAAGGACTTTGGTCCTTCACTCATTCTTTTATTACAAGTGGTAGTCGA